ACCAGCGCCAGGCCACCCGGGCGGGAGACCGCTTGCCCGCCTTGTCTGCTACGGCTGCTGCGGCTCTATTGGCGGCTGCTCGGCTGCACCTGGTACGGTCCCCTCATCCGCACCACCACCAGGCGACCCGAGTCCACCACCACCGACACCTGCACCCCCACCCCCGCCGCCACGCCCAGCCTTGGGGCGGCGACCCTTCCCCGGAAGGACCTGTGTTGCAGCGGCAGTCTCAGCCACAGTAGCAGAACCGTCGGAGAAGGTGCACTGAGCGGGGGCGCAACCCTGAAAGATAGGGTCTGGTACAGTACCGCTGGTGTGAGCGATAGAGCGGTGGCGGGCCTCTATAATGGACAGGGTGTCAACAAAGTCAGTGAGGGTGAGGTCTGCTGGGTGGACACTAAGGAAGTGGTCACGGGCAGTGGCAAGACGGTCAGGGAGGCGGGTGGCTAGCAGGTAGAGAGTAGAGGTGAGGGGCGGCTGGTGGGCTAGAAGCTGTGTGGGAGTACAGGCAGCACGCCAGGTCTCATCTATAGCGCGCAGGTGATCGGCCAGGTCAGCGACAGTGGGGAACGACGCAAGGTCAAGGAAGAGCATGGGGAGGATCAGACGACCTACTTAGGCAGCAGGCGGGGTGGAATAGTGCTGGACAACAGCATCTAGGAAAGCCTGGACAGTGGTGATAGACCGAAAGCGAGGTCCTCGGACAAGGGGAGGGCAAGCTGTGCAACAGCGTCACGGGACAGCCAGACAGAGCGAGCAAGGGCAGCGGCCGCAGCGGACTCACGTTCAGCGGACGAGGGGTCAGGAGACAGTGCAGCGGGGGGGTCAGGGCAGGGGAGAGTACCATCAAGATGGACAGAGAGCGAATGGCCATCCTGCCACTGACCAGTGAGATGGCGACGGAGGTCAGCAAGCCACGCATCAAACTCAAGCGGCTGCCCCTCAGCATCAAAGCGAAGCACCGCCGCCATCAGTGACAATAGAGGGCAGTATAGAGTGGTGCAGGATGGTGCAGTGCGATGTAGTGCGGTGCAGTGCAGCACAGTGCGGTGCAGTGTGGTACAGTGCGGTGCAATGTGGTGCAGTGTGGTGCAGTGCGGTACAGTGCGGTGCAGTGCGGTGCAAAGCGGTGCAGTGTGGTGCAAAGCGGTGCAGTACGGCACCGGGGGGGGGGGTCGACAGGGCGGTGTTGATCGGGAAGAACGGGCCGAGCCCGAGGCGGCAGCGTGTTGGCGACGACGCGAATGCAAGGGCGGGCCGACGGGCGACGGACGCGAGGGGCCAGCAAACGGCGGCAACAGGGGACGACTAGAAGCTGAGGCGACGACGGCCAGGGACAGCCGCGACAGCGGCCAGGGACAGCCGCGACGGCGGCCAGAGATAGCCGCGACGGCGGCCAGGGACAGCCGCGACGGCGGCTAGGGGCGGCCGCGACGGTGAGGGGCGGCCGTAAGCCGGCTGAAAACGGCCGCGACGGCAGCTAGGGGCGGCCGCGACGGCCAGGGGGCCAGCTAGGGACGGGCGCTAACGGCCAGGGGGCCAGCTAGGAACGGGCGCGATGGCCTGAGGGCCAGCTAGGGGCGGGCGGGACGGCCAGGGGGGTAGCTAGGGACGGGCGCGAACGGCCTGGGGGCCAGCTAGGGACGGGCGCGAACGGCCAGGGGGCCAGCTAGGAACGGGCGCGAACGGCCAGGGGGCCAGCTAGGGACGGGCGCGAACGGCCAGGGGGCGAGCTAGGGACAAGCGCGACGGCCTGGGGGCCAGCTAGGGGTGGGCGCAACGTCCAGGGGGCCAGCTAGGGACGGGCGCGAACGGCTAGGGGGCCAGCTAGGGACGGGCGCGAACGGCCTGGGGGCCAGCTAGGAACGGGCGCGAACGGCCTGGGGGCCAGCTAGGAACGGGCGCGAACGGCCAGGGGGCCAGCTAGGGACGGGCGCGAACAGCCTAGGGGCCAGCTAGGGACGGGCGTGAACGGCTAGGGAGCCAGACGGCAGCGAGGGCCGAGGGGCGGAAGCGTGGGCGGGCTAGGGGACCTAACGTACTATGATACCATAACAAAATGAATAGTAAAATTGAGTAGGGAGAGAACAAATGAATATACCTAAATGTTGTACCCCCTAAGAGATGAACCTATACAGTCTATACAAACATAGTGCATACATGTTTGACATAGCTGACGGTGCCGGGGCTAGCTGACGGGGCCGGGGCTAGCTGACGGGGCCAGGGCTAGCTGAAGGGGTTGGGGCTAGCTGACGGGGCCGGGGCTAGCTGAAGGGGGGCCGGGGCTAGCTGAAGGGGGCTGGGGCTAGCTGACAGGGCTGGAGCTAGCTGACGGGGCCGGCTGGTTGACGGGAGCGACACGGGCCTATGGCGGAATTCGGTGGGCGGGGGGAGAGGGGGGGGGGGGGGGGGGGGGTGAACGGGGCCTACTCGTGATACCATCTTAGCAGAAACTAATGGTTTAAAATCATAGCATACATTGCAATATATGCTAAAGAGTTGGTACCCTCTAAGGTACGACCCTATACAGGCTATATAACATATAAAGTTATGTTTGACATGCCTGGCTTTCCACGTCAGCCTCCTACGGCCCTACGTTCCCAGTTCGTCGGATTTGGCACGACGACGCATTGTTCCGCAGCTGACGCCCCTCTAGATTCTCGACCATCGAGTCACAACGCAGCAAAACCGTCGGATGGTAAATTTTCTCATCAGATGGCGTGATCGGACGTCTGAGGATGACAGCTGGGTACCCCTCGCTGATCTAGAATCACACCCGATTCTTACAGCGTACTATCAGCGTTGGAAAGTTTCCGATGCCTACAGCGTACGAGAAGAGGTTAGTGTTTATTGAGTTGTACGTGAGCGCGTACACCCGAACTCCTCGACTCGTCATGTTCGGCCTCATTTGTCGGCCCAACCCTTTCTCGAGTCGCGTCCGGCACTGGCACCGTTACATTCGTCGATTATTAGTTGTTCTCTAGCATTTCAAAGTTCGCTTTAGTGTAAGAACTATGCGCGGCGGTCAATCATCCCGTCACTTATTCCTGACGAACGGTTTGGGTGACGGACGGTTTGTTATCGTTGACAGAAATCGTCACTGATCGTAAAAGCCCCGCAATAATCTTTACAGACCCGAGATTTTATGCGGGAGAAAGCAGCGTTCGTCACTAAATCTAGGCGAACCATGGCGCCCCGTTCGTACCATTTGCTTTCGCCAAGGGCCGTCGTCGCACCCGGTTCCGATTCGCAGGAGCGAAAACCCTTCGCGAACAGTCGCGTGGCATGTCGAGTCGCATAGCGTGTCGCAAGGGGCGTCGCTCGCCAGCTTGCGAGTCGCATCCAGCGGAGGTTCGAGTCGGCACCTAACAGAGAGTTCCACGCCGAACCTGACTCCTGCTACTGAGCTCTTCGATATATGCACCGGAGGAGGTACGCTACACGTATTTCTCAACCCCCTCTCCCCTCTGGCTCCCGTGCAGCGGAATTTAGCGCTTCAACTCTGCATTGTTTTCTCGCCTCTCTCAACTAACTCTCAGTTCATACAGTCCCTAATAAAGCCTATGATATGTATTCGTTCCTTTCATCCGCCGACCGTCACCTCTGCCTCGCCTTTCTCACCTTTACTCTCGCCTCGCCTCGAAATTCAGGGCTTCGCTCTGCATTGCCTCCCCTCGCATCCCTTACTTTCTCTCATGACACGTCCTTCTACCCCTGTTTTTTTCCCTTCTCCTTCAATTTATTTGTTAAAACGAGATCGAGAGAGAGAGAGAGAGAGAGAGAGAGAGAGAGAGAGAGAGAGAGAGAGAGAGAGAGAGAGAGAGGGGGGGGGGGAGGGAGGGAGGAGGGAGGGAGGGAGGGAGGGAGGGAGGGAGGGAGGGAGGGAGGGAGGGAGGGAGGGAGGGAGGGAGGGAGGGAGGGAGGACATCTTACTCTGAGGACTTCATGCAACTTAACTATGGGGAGTTGCCTATACGGTTTCAGATCCCTGGTAAGTCATTTGTCTTATTTGCAGTTGCGCTTGTAAGGCCCTTGATGAATATTAACACGTCGTAGTAAAGGCCATGTAACAGTAGGAAGTAAAGTTGCTGGCGCATCTCTAGCTGAAGTGTATCTTTCTGTAACTTTGTTTGAACTATCATTTTGCAACTTCATATTTCACGGCACCACTTCATGGCAGCACGCCGACGTGGCGTCTTCGTCGTGTATGTCAAGGGCAGCTCAATCAGCTCTGGCTGTCGCGGATATGGTGGCTAGGATGTGGCTGGGAGACATGCAATGCCAATGCCGATGTGGCAGCAGAAACCAGCCACGTATGCTTGAAAGCGAGCTTCGTATGTGCGACTAGGACAGGTCAGAAAGTATTTGTCGTGTGGGGTCGTTCAAAGCCCAACCCAAACCCAACTTTGGTGGAAAAGAGCAGTGAACAGTATCGACAGCAGAATGCCGACACCGCCTTGCACTGTACCTGTCTCCCCCCTTTTCCCCAACTTCCTCCCACTCGCCCCGTCTTCTCCCCACCCTCCCCCAACCCCTCCCCTACCCCCCCCCCCCCTCCCCCCGTTTCTTTCTCCGCCTCCCGCATTCCCCTTCCAACCCAACCTGATTCCCGCCAAACTGTCACCAGCGGGAACCAGTCAGCCCAATCGTAACTCTCGCGGCGCGGCCCGGAGGAACATTAGGACCATGCGATTTCGTGTCGCCGATTCGCGAATGTTCTAGTCGGTCACTGTGCGAAATTCTTGCTTTCGTGACTCATCATGACTGAGGGCATTTCGAATGCCAACACAGACACCCAAGTTCTTTTACCGTGTTGGAAAAACTTCTGCATCTCACAAAACCTAATATATATTACACCAAACCGAGCTAAACCCGAAACCACAAGCAAACATCTTGCCCTGTCAGTTCAAAACGCCCCCACCTGCCATCACTGGACTGGACTGGACTGGTCCTAGCTTTCTTGTCAGCATTCCAGACCCGAACTGGGCTGTGCAATTCTCGTACTTACCGTTGCTGTGGCGACTAATATCCTCGTACTTACCGTTGCAATTTTGTACCACTGTCGTACGGCCGATCATGCCGGAGATCTGGCGAGATTTATGTCGGTCATGCTGTCAGCTGTTGGCGACGAACGATTGCAGTCACAGACGGAAGCCGTCCGAAAGCGTCGACGGAAATCGTCACGGAGATCGAAATCAGCATTTGTCACTGCTACTAGTGACGGATGGTCGACCTGACGGACTTATAGTTCGCTCGACAGCACAATCGTTAACTTTGACGGACCGATCGTTACCTCTGGAAGACTGATCGCTAACGTTGACGGACTGATCGTGACGGACTGTTCGTTAACTTGGCCATAGCTGAACCATGTCGCTTAGAAACCCTCGTTTATCCTCTCGTCCTCTCCGTCTCACCTTCCTCCTGCTCTCCGTATTCTCCGCCGCGTTTTCCGCCGCTTTTTCAGCTGGAGTGTCTGAAAGCGCTCCCGCTAGCGCTCCCGCAAGCGCTCCCGCCCCGTCTCCCAGCGACGAGATGATTCCAGATATCCCCGGTATAGACTACTCCGTCAATATCACGCTTCCGGTCGTTTCAGGCACATCAGGGGATCCCGTGGGTCCCCCCATTTGCTTTGAGCAAGGGCTATCGCCGCACCCGGTTCCGATCCCTTGTGGCGAAAATTCTTCGCTAACAGCGACGTCGCAAGTGGCGTCGCTCGCCAGCGCGCGAATCGCATCTATTGGTGGTTCGAGTCGACCCCTAGTCGCAGAGAATTCAACGCCGAACCTGACACCCGCTACTGAGCTCTTCGATATATGCACTGGAGGAGGTACGCCACTACACTTCCCCACCCCCCCCCCCCAATTCCTAACTGTGCCGAACCTAATTGTGCTGGAAGGTAGGCGCTTTGCTCTCGGCGCGCTTTGCATCGATTTTGCCGCGCTATCTCGTTGGCCTTGCGGCCTTTCTCGTCCCTCACTCTTCCCCCATTCGTCCCTCACTCTTCCCCCATTCGTCCCTCACTCTTCCCCCATTCGTCCCTCACTCTTCCCCCATTCGTCCCTCACTCTTCCCCCATTCGTCCCTCACTCTTCCCCCATTCGTCCCTCACTCTTCCCCCATTCGTCCCTCACTCTTCCCCCATTCGTCCCTCACTCTTCCCCCATTCGTCCCTCACTCTTCCCCCATTCGTCCCTCACTCTTCCCCCATTCGTCCCTCACTCTTCCCCCATTCGTCCCTCACTCTTCCCCCATTCGTCCCTCACTCTTCCCCCATTCGTCCCTCACTCTTCCCCCATTCGTCCCTCACTCTTCCCCCATTCGTCCCTCACTCTTCCCCCATTCGTCCCTCACTCGCCCGAGCCGCATACTAAAAAGGTGCTGAGTCGACTCACTCCGAGTCGTCTCCTCGCACGTCCCTTTCACGACTTGTATCTGCCGCGCGCAACGGTCTCATGGGGAGCTCCTCGCATCGATCTGCTCCTCGCGTCGATCTGCTCCTCGCATCGAAATTCTCTTATTGCCCCGCAAAAACTGTCTGATGAACTTTTGAGTCGACTCAAAAGTCGCCTCGAAAAACTGTCGGACCAACTAACTGTGTGCCGCGAGATTGTCGCATACCCCCTCCCCCCTCCCCCCTCCCCCCTCCCATTTTCCTTCCCTGACACCAGAATCGGTGTCTCTGACTCCGCGGCGGCGTAACACGTAGCTGTGTGCCTGCTCTTTCCCCCACCCTTCCCCACCCGTCCTTCCTCCCTCCCCCGCTCCTGGCTCTGTGCCATTGACTCTGGATCCATGGCGGCAGAACAAGTTGATTGAGTGTCTCGTGTCTCCCGTCTCCCCCCACCCTCCCCCACCCTCCCCCCTGCCCAGGCTCCGCGTCAGTGACTCCGAACCCGCGCAGGCGGAACAAGCGGGCTGATGATCTTCCCCCCACCCTCTCCCCCTCCCTTCCACCCATTCCCAGGCTCCGCGTCAGTGACGCTGAACCCGCGCAGGCGGAACAAGTGGCGAGGCTGGGGCACCTCCCTCTGCTGGTAAGCCACCCCTCCCCGCCCCCCCCCCTCTGCCCCCTCTCTCTCCCCCCTCTCTCTCTCCCCTCGCTCTCCTCCCCCGCTCCCGATTCAATATCCCTCCCTCCAACCCCTTTCTGGCTGGATACGGCAGGGGAGCAAGTGGCGAGGCTGGGCTGTGCTGGTAAGACTGCAGGTGAAGATGTGGGGTGAGGGGAAAGGGGGGGAGTGGGGGTGAGGTGAAGGGGAGGGGGGGGGTTGAGGTGAAAAGGGGGGGAGGGGGGGTGAGGTGGAAGGATGTATGCTTATTCATAGATAGCTTCCTTCAATCCCACTTCAATCTCCTTGCGGCCCTCTTGTCCCTGTCCCCGCCCTTCAATGCACCACCCCCCTTTTCTCCCTTGACTCAACACATCCCCCCTGACCTTCCCCTCTCTCTCTCCTTCTATACTTCCTAGTCTAGGAAACTTCGTGGGTGGTTTCCCTGATGCCCACTTTGACCCCTTAATGGACCTCCTATTCTTTCTCTTTCAGGTCCAAACCTCAACAGTCTGTTACAGCATAGGAGGCGGGCATAATGCGACTAACAACCCCCAGGTTCAAACAGACACACTCTCTCAATGCACCGACCCCACTTCTCTCCCTTGACTCAATACTCTCCTTCTGATATCCCCTCCCACGCTTCCATCCCTCTCAGGCTAGGAAACTTCGTGGGTGGTTTCCCCGACACGCACTTCAACCCTCTCATGGACCTCCTATTCTCCCCATCGGGACTAAACCTCAACATAATCCGCTACAACATAGGAGGCGGCAACAACGCTACCAACAGCCCCCGACTCCAAACAGGCTGGGGAAAATGGCGGGGCATGCCGGGCTTTAAAGCCACAGAGCAAGCAGGCTACAACTGGTCAGCAGACGACAGGCAGCGGAAAGTTTTGTTCGCTGCCCGGGCGCGCGGGGCAGACACATTCGAAGCTTTTGCCAACAGCCCACCCTGGTGGATGACAGTGTCTGGGGATGTTGCTGGGGCTTCCAAATACGGGGAGGGGAATTTGAAGGTGCAGTACGAAGAAGCTTATGCGGAATTTCTCACTGATGTGGTGGAGAAATTTGCCAAGGATACTAGCTGGGTAAGGGAATGGTGTTTGATACCTTGGAGCCGTTTAATGAGGCTTTGGAGGGGGTGGTGGATGAAGGGGGGAGGGCAGGAGGGGTGTAACATCGGTTTACAGCAGATGAAGCGGATTCTACTGATGGTCCAGGCTGCTCTTGAAAGGAAGCAGCTTAAAACGGGGATTGTTTCGGTGGATAGCTTTGTCCAAACCACCCCGAGACAGATTGGGACTCTGAACCCGTTCCTCGCCCGTTACAACGTGCATGGTTACATGAGCCTGGCGAAAAACGGAACGAGTTCGGTCGAGTGGACAACCCAAAAATTTCATGATATGAAGCGGATGGCGAAAGGGCAGGAGAAAGAGGTGTGGGTTTCGGAATGGGGACCGCTCTTGCGAGGCGGGGAGGATATGGACGTGGCACTGTTCATGGCGAGGTCAATCATTGCAGCGATCAACATTTTGGAAGCTACTGGGTGGGTCTTTGGCAGGCGA